CACTTGCGATATCCTCCTTCTCGTTGTCTTCCTTCTTCTCTAACTCGGATTCCTTCTCTGCTTGTTCAGTTGGTTTTTGTTGCATGGCTGAGTTTTCGGTCCTCGGATCGATCGGTTCGTCCAATTCTTTTCCACTTCTTAATATTACAGCATTTGCTTGGCCTTTTGGATTCTGTTCGGGTTGTCCAGGAAATGTGCCAGCAGGTGCGGCAGCAGAGGCTTGTTGTTGAGCCACTTGTGATATCTGTGTTTCTAACATTTTGTTGTGGGTGGCTAAAGCGTCTACTTTTCCGGTCAACTGTTTAATTTGCTCGCTAGTGTGTATGTTTTGATTCAGGAATTCTTTGTTTGTTTGAGCTTGAGTAGCTATCAATTTTCCATTATCAATTCGAGGTTTGATTTCCTAGGTGCATTCTGAGTAGCTGGTTTCTGATATCCTTGCGGAGCAGTAGGCATTTGCAATGCATTTTCGCTTTTGTAAGAAAAGTTCGGATGATTTCGCCAACCTGGGTTGTAGGTATTTGCGTAGGGATTTCCTTGAGCATAATTTACCTGGTCTGGTGGGATTCCGGCTAGCAATGGGCATTCAGGTGCATTATGAGTGGTGCTTCCGCATAACTCGCAATTTGGAGTTACTACAGCGACAGTTGCAGTGGGGTTAACGGTCAGACTATCAATCTTCTGTGCTAGAGCATCTACTTTAGCATTGAACTTTTCAAGGCTGCTGATCTCGTACATCCCACCTTTCGCTGTGGTTTTCTCTATTGGAGTGCGTTCACCTCCCCATAGGCAATGGTTTTGTGACATGTTTTCTATTAATTGATAGGCTTCATCGTATGGCTTATCCATAAGTGCACCGCCCGCGGCAGCGTCTATTGTCAATCTAGTATTGTATAGAAGCCCATTATAGAAAGTATGGATTGTCACCCAGTCTTCTAGACCATGGTGAGGACATGTTCTCATCATATCTTTGAATCGTTCCCATGCTTCGTAAAGAGATTCAGTATCTTTTTGTCGAAATCCGTTGATTTGAGCTCTAAGCATAGCAGTTTTGCTTGGCGGAAAATATCTCGCTAAGAAGACGTTCTTCAATTGCTCCCACGTCGTAACGGAGTTGGATGGTAACGATTGTAACCATGTCCACGCTCTATCTCTAAGAGAGAATGGGAAAAGACGAAGTCTTATCGCGTCTGGAGTTACTCCATTTGCTTTCACTGTGTCTGCGTATTGTACAAACTTCGTGAGATGTTCGTTCGGATCCTCAGTTGCGTTTCCTGAGAATTGGTTTTGTTGTACAGCCGACAACAATGATGGTTTCAGCTCAAAATCATTTCGGGTAATAGCTGGGGCAGCAATGCTACTTATAGGCTCCATCTGAGAGGGTGTAGCGTATGCCTTCAGCGGTTTGTTTGGAGGTCCTTCAGCCATCTCTGGTTCTTCTTCTTCTGATTTGGGAATGGGATTGAGAGGTCCGGGAGTGTTATGTTTGAGTTGTTTGAGTTGGTACTCAATGATTCTACTTCTTAAATGTAAGAAGCGTTCTAGTTCTGCGACTGAAGGTTTTACGATATCGCTTTGCGGGCGATTTCTTGGCATACAATCGACAACACTAGTAAGGGAAAAATGAAAATTGTTAACCTAGTCTATATGGCGTAACAGAAGGTTACACTATTGACTAAACGGGTCTCCGGCAACGGTGCCAAAAACTTGATCGCGACTTTCTATGTCTAATACAACCTAACTGCAAGTGCACAGTCTATCGCGTAGTAATAATAGATATCAATCCCACAGGGACTCGTAATCAAGATAGTGTTCTCGGGAGTTCCTATGTTTAGCTAGGTAGAATATGTTTAAGGAAATAAGATTGTCACTAAAAGGGAACTAAGAATACTATTTAGATTATAAATGATTGAATCGATACGTAGTAATTGTGTTCTTCAGGGATTTGATAAGTTACTGGTGTATGAAATGATTTTCAAAGTTTATTTAAGCAGAAAATGGAGATTTGAAGACTTTCGCCTCACGATGGTTATTGACGCTAATCATAATCCTAAGGGCTAAACGTACACTTTCGTATCCCGTTCGGGGTTTAAATCATTTTTTGGAAATCTCTAAGTTCTAATTCATTTTAAAGTGCTTTCGCTATTATTAAAATGAATGACTAGTGTTTACTATCTGACCTTACCGCAGCTTTCGCTTGTTGGTTCGTATCTTAATTAATTTCCCACTTTCATGGCAAAACTACTTTTAAATAAGTTCTCGCTTTCGCGACGAAGTTTATTCAGTGAATCAATTTTAAACACTCAGACCATAAATTACTTTTTTGAAAAGAAAGTTTTTCAACCAGTTGTTATCAAATCCCATTCGAATTATTACTACATATCGATTACCTGAGTTTAGCTAGACATGGATTTGGGAAAGATAAAACATAAATAAAAGTAATAAATAATGATTTGCATTATAATAAAACTGGAATCGATTGAAATGAGAAACCTGTAAATATTCCAATTGGCCTTTGGGCAGATCCTCCACAGATGTTGGCAGGATTCTGATCTCTATGCCAATTTGATCGTACAATAAAATAGAAGTTATAGAAGAATGGAAAATGGAATACAGGAAAGGTAAAGAGAAACAAATAAGAATATTGCTGGAAAATAAGCTCTGGAAATAAATTCGGCAGCACTTCGTGGTATGAATGCAGCACCCTTTCTGAAGTCCCCTGCTTCCCTTTTTATAGAAGTGGAATACCAACGGTTATCATTGAAGATGATGGACTTTGAGGCAAATAATTTAGGGAGTAGTGGTCTACTCTGTGGGAATTGGAACTGATTCTTTGACGTGTAATTGCAATGGGGCGTTTTTGCCTGCATGACGGTCGTCACAAGGTGTGACGGCCGTCACCCGTGTGACGGTCGTCATGAAGCTGTGACGGTCGTCACATCAGCAAAAACAGCTTCCTGCGCTTTTCATTATGTTTTCACTCCTTTTTCGTCCATATTTCATCTGAGATTGCTTCTTTTCTTCATGTTGCCTTGTTTAGACGTGATCGTTGAATACCTGCAAAACATCAGACAAATACACGGAAATAACCCGAGATCGGATCGAAAACGGTTAGACTTTAGTTGAATTATGCATCAAAATATATACGATTTCGTGTTATCACTCACCTACACCTTAGCGCTTTCAGGCGTACATGTATGTTTATTTATCTGTCTTTACTTTATTCGCAATTTTATATTTCCGCATTTATATTATCATATTTATCTTTCCTGCATCGCATCCGTCCAAAGGAAAAACCTACACATGATTCAACAATCGTGTGTAGTGCACATCATTTGCATCATATTCCCCATGATCCTTGATCCCATTCAAGTTGATCCCTAGGATAGATCCTACCCCATAGGAAAGACCGTTATCTTTACAACTTAAATACAAGCAATCAACTCAACTCAAATATTCAAACACATTAGAGAAAGATGCCAAATCATCTTAAGCGAGATAGAATCTCCACCCCACATCAATACAATCAAAACCGTAGGAACTTTGCCTTAAGAGAGATAGAGGCGTACCTCGTCGATCCATATCCGAGTACTTAAGCCCTTCTCTTAAGACGATGCAAAGACTATTTTCCTACAATTTATGGCGGTTAAATCTCTCTTAAAATGACAACTCACCTTTTCTCCTAAGCTCAATTAATCAACTACCCTAAACTCGTAGGAACTTTGGCCACAGTCAAAGAACTCCTTAACCCTTTAGGGGAACTACAGATACTCTGATTCCACTCCCGTAAGGATATATAGGCATAAGATGCGACATCTTATCGAGTATACTTAGAAATAAACCCCTAGGTCTTTCAACTATTAAGCAGATAACACTTAGCGATAAACAACATTAAAACAAGAGGTTCCTGTAGAGTACTACAGAAACTTAGGATGCTAGTACCTTCCCTAAGTTTAACCAACCCCCGAACCTAAAACTCTCTAAACCTTGCATTTGCATTGCATTATGGGAATTTCGATATTTATCCCTTCCTTTGGACAAATCAAAGTTCGGTTGTAAAATGAATTAAAGATTCAAGTTAATCAATAGCTTGGTATCCAAATTTCACTGCGACAGAATGATGGTAAGAAATAGACAGTGAAAGAAAGAGACAAATACGAATCCCTAAATTCCAAATCTAAATTCCTAAATGAAGAAAAAGAAGACTGTTGAGATTCATAAAACATAAATCTGAGAGTGGAGAGGAAGAAAACTTGGTTATTAACTGTTGTTGCAGAAAATGACAGGTTCTGATTTCACCGCAAAAAGGTTGTTTGTTTTTTAATTGGATTCATTATTTATTCTCCCTGCAATTCAAATACAAGTTCGAATCCCTAAATCCCAATTTTAAACCCCTAAAATCAAAATCAAAATTTGAGATACATAAAAAAAAATTAAAAAAAGAAAAGGAGAGAATAAAAAAGAAAAGAAAACTAAAGCATATTTAAGGGAAGTTGTATAGAAAATGAGCAAGAATTGTTGAAGAAGAAGATACAAGTAGAGATGAGATGATACAACTAAATCTATATTTGTTATTTATTAGTTCTTTTTAGTTATTTTAAATTTAATCAATATATATAAAAAAGAAAATGACATGTAAAATAGGGTGAAGCAATTGGTAGTGTCCACATCATTCAAAATATATCAACTATTAAAAAAAATTATATGTCATATATTTTTTTAATAAAAAATAAGAACTAAACATAAGAAATTATAGGGGAGTAACAAGAAAAGGTTTAGCAATGGAGTTAAACTTTGCACCTTCACAAAACTAACTCAACCTTAACGAAGTAAAGAAGATGATAGGAGAATGAATTTTTGTTCAGAAACGCAACAAAAATAATGGAAGAGATACAAGGTGGGATAATGTTCGGGGCACTAGTTCTGGTTTCCATGGTGAAAAAGGTACAAAATCTTCCTTCTTTTTCACATCTTTTCCAAAGAATGTGGGGGAAAAGGAAATGTACGAAGAAGTCGAACCTTTTGGGGATATAGACGAGGTGGTAATTCTTAACAAAAGAGATGTTAGAGGCAAGAGATACGACTTTGTTAGGTTTTTCAATGTTGAGAATGTAAGAATTTTGGCTATGAAATTGGAAAATATATTCATAGGTAAGAAGAAGCTCTTCGTCAACATACCTCGTTTTCAAAGAAAACAAGGTGGTGGACCTATCAGAGAGAAAGCAAGGGATAGGGAAGATGCTTATGACAAGCGGGAGTTTTCAATCAAAACCATATTTGGAGAACATCGATCATACACTAACGTTGTTAACAATAATTTCATAAATGTAACGCATGAAGAGAAGGCCAAACTGATCTTTGCACACGTTGAATACAACATCAGAGATTTCGAATTGGAGATATTTAAGAAAATGTATATTGGAATTGTGGAGAATGTTGGATTGTCTTATAGCATGCAAGATATCTTTAATGCAGAAAGGTATTTTTCCATTCATGTAACACCTTTGGGAGAAAATATGTGTCTGCTAGAGGATAGAGATGAAGGTGAAATGGAAGCTTTATTAGCGGAAAGGTGAGACTGGCTTCAATAATGGTTTAAGGAAATAAGGAAATGGTAGCCTTCAAATGTGGATATAAAGGGGGTTACATGGGTTCGATGATATGGTGTTCCTTGTCATGCCTGGTCGCCTAGGTTTTTTGAGTTCATTATGGCTTATCTAGGCATATATATATATATATATATATATATATATATATATATATATATATATATATATATATATATATATATACATATATATATATATATATATATATATATATATATATATATATATATATATATATATATATATATATATATATATATATATATACATATATATATATATATATATATATATATATATATATATATATATATATATATATATATATATATATATATATATATGTGTGTGTGTGTGTGTGTGTGTGTGTATGTGTGTGTGTGTGTGTGTATGTATGCGTGTGTGTGTGTGTGTGTGTGCGTGTGTGTGTGTGTATGTTTGTTCAGACGATAACACCAAAAATTAAGTTAACATGGATGTCACGCGGTTCATGGTCAGGACCAAGTAAATTTTGGTTTTAAATGAAACCTTCAATGTTCAGATTAACAAAGATGTATTTGGGATCAAAATTATGGAAGACTCTCAAGGGTCTTTAAGAATTTGTCTACCATGGAATCATGAAGGTCTTGATTCGCCTCCAGATTCTCTTGCCGACATATTCTTAGATGAAGGTTTTAAGATGACACGTTATCACTTATGAGTGAAAAAGACAATGGAATAGTGACATGTGAGTCCAATAGATAATTGCAATCTTTAGATGGGAGTATCCAATAAATTAGGGAGCTGGTGGGACTTATCTGAAAACTTGGTGCAAGGAGGGTGTTCTGGGTATGGAAATTGTAGCAGCTCGAGGTGAGGGTGTTATATTTAATTTCTTGGGTTTGTGAAAAATAAAGTCAAAGGGGTTGGAAAATGTGCAGTAGAAAGTGGCTTTAACAAATCCTAGGTTGGATATTTCAGAGAAAGTGTTGGTCCCTAGGAAAATCGCTCATAAGAAATCTCGAATGATGGAGGATATTTTGCCTTGTAGTAAAACTCCAAATGGGTTGGACTTAGGGGATTCTATTGATATTTTGGACCTCCAAAATTCCTTTCGTGGGTCTAATAAACCTCATCAGTTGGTCCATGTCGTGCGTAATTGTTCATCCCAATTCATTTCTTCTGAAAACCAGTTGGATTTGGCTAATACCTCTGCCCCTCTTGCTCGTTCTGATGCATTTCCCCCCTTTCATCGTCTTTGACTTTGGCCATTTCAAATCATCAATCATCTTCTGTTGAATCCTCTTCCATAAAATTCTCGGGGGCTCTGTTATGTGTTGTGATTCTATTAGAGATTCTGGTGTAGAGTGTGGTAATTTTCTCGCACAATCAAAAGGTGCAGGCGTTGTGGCTAACACCATTTGGGATAAAGCGGTTCAATTAAGAGTCAGTGGAACAAAATCTTTTGAATTTTATGTGGAAAAAATCAAGAAAGTGAAAAAAAAGCTCGTGGGAGATATAATACCTTAATTTTTACCCCTAAGATCCCACATGCCATTTGCATCACCTGCATCACAAACAAGATCACAAACTTTGGTTCTCTTACCCTTCTTTGTAGGTTTGTCTTGAGGGAGATCACCAAGCACCCTTGCTTCCTTGTTTTTTTATATTTGTTTATGTTTATGTTTACTAATCAAAATAATAATAAATGTTTGTTTTCCCTTTACTAACTTTTTCAGAAAGAGGTTTATATCAAGAACATTAAACACTAGTTCCTCAACTCAATTATAATTCATCTGAACAAGGTCAAAGATTGGTCAATAATAATTTTCAAGTATTATCCAATCCCAGTTGATCAAGAGTTTCCTGAAGATTTGATTACTTACTGCCCAAGAAACTCATGTGTTTATTTCCATGCCTTCACTAACAAGTCAAAAGAATCAAGTCAGAGCCACAACAACACAACAAAAAGGCCATTTTCACATTTTTTTACTATGTTAATCAATTAAGACCATATGGTTAACTAATTAACAACGTAAAAATTTGCAAAAATCAGCTTTGTACAAGTTCTGCAGCATTTTGGCACCAATTTTCAAATGTGACCTCATGTGGAATATTCTAGATCATGCAAAGTCATCACAAAAATGATTCCCCTACATAATCACAATTATTTCCATCATACACCCTCATTTGATCTCACATGTGCACCACATGATCTTTGATTTTCACTACAAAGCCAATTACCAAGCCTAATTTTTGCTCCAAACCAAATTCTAAGCCACCACTCCCTCCAAGCCTAAATTCTATATAAACACCCAAAATTTCATTCATCAAGCTTTTGATAGTCAAATTCACCTTGTTAAAATTCCTTCTCATTATCTCAATTTTCTTCACCTACCCAAATTCACCAAAGCTCTTCTTCCATTAAAAATTTAGTAAACTTTTCATTGAAGCTTACTAATCTTTGAGCTAAACATCCACCAAAATATTTCATAAACATCAAGTTCTGTAAATCAAAGCATTGGAGAGTGATTCTTGAAGTTGATTTGAAGCAAATTCACATCTGGATCAGTAAATCTCTAAGTTCCACCATTGTTCTGCTTAATTTTCATCTTCCATAATGTGATCTCGTGTTGATTCTTGTTACTTGATCATTTGAGCCACATTTGTGATTCCATTGGTGTTAATTTCTCTTAATTTGATGGAATTTTCGTGCTCAATTGCATATATGATCATGAGGTGTTTGAAGAAATGATTGAATCATGGAAATTTATTATTTCAAACTATTTTTTTGCTGCCATAGCAGTGTTAATCGATTAACCAGATAATTTTGTTTTTTTGGTTAATCGATTAACACGAGTCATAATTCTATTTTTGGCTTATTTTTGGACTGTTTTGGTTCTTTTTCTTCATTGTTCTTTTTCCCTTTATTTTGGCTTGAATTGTGATGTTTGTTGATCAAATTTCTCTTTAAATTCCATGGACTTTGGGTGTTTAATGAAGTTGGATAAACCTTCATTAGTTCAAATCTATCTTTAAGTGAATCATTTGATTTATTTTAGGTGCCTTGAATTAGTGATAGGTTTAGTACTTTAATCAACCAAGAAGAGTGATGGAACTTGAAGATGGAATGATCCAAATATTGTGATTCAATTTAGTTTTCCTTCTCCTCTTCTTCTATTTTTTTTCTTCTTTTGTTCAATTAAAATCTTACATATTATAGAACTTTTCTTCTAAGTTCTTAATCAAGATGAGACTACTACCTCTTTTCTTTTAGTGTGGTAAGTTTTAGGAGAATGACCTACATGTCATTTCTCTAACTTGTGTTAACACAAACATTGCTATTGACCGACCTCATATAGTTATGAATTCTACATAAGTCCAATTACGATTGCTTAACATAGCGCTAAATTGGTCCCAAATCAAAAATTGAGTTGTTTTTGTAAGTGAGTTATCAATCTCCTATAACCCATAGTATGTTGTGAGATATATTGTTTCTGTCATTAAGAGAGTTAGTTGGCATACTCCTCGATTTTATCTGAGTTGGAGCCCTTCCCTTAATGATGTATAGATTCATGTTCTCATGCTTATGGTTGATTAGTTGAGTATTCTTTGAAAAACGACAAAATGTTCTTCATCGCTAACACTAGCATACTAACTATAATTGCAGTAACTTTACTTTGTGCCATTTATTTTCTCTTTACATTCTTGTCATTTATTTTTATGCCTTTACTTTTAGCATTTCATATTATTATCATCTTATTTTCTCTTTCTCCATTTGGACCTTTATTTGTACTTTTGCTTATTTTCTCTTTGTCCACTTGGACCATATTTCTCTTAAGACATTAATAAATACTTAAAAACTAAAAGACTTGGATCTCTTAATTCTGGACTGTTGTGACCTTATGCTTGGACTTTGGACTCGGACTTCAGACTTAGATCTAGGATCCTTGCCCTATACTTTTGGAGATTTGAGACCTTGGACCTTGGTGTTGCTTTTATCTGTTTGTTTGGAAATTTTTTGTGTGCAGGTGTTGATACTTTGACATTGTGAAAATCATTCGATGCATGACTCTCCTAATTGGCCTTTAACCCTTGGGAAGATCTTACTTTGAGTTTTCTATGGCTTATTTTGGGATTTTCTCATATGCTTTAATTCGTTTGGTTATTATGCTTGTGGTTTAAATCCAAAAGGAAGAGGATTACTTATGTTGACTCGGTGTCAAATGTTTGCTCCTTGTGTGGTTAGGTCTTCCCATCTCTAGCTTTTATTTTGTGTTTAAGGGTAGTCACTTCTTCTCCTCCCCTTCTTCAATTTTCAAAATCTTCTCCATTTTTCAAAACCTTCTTTCTTTCAAACTATAACCTCTTTCACAATAAACCTTGACTTCTGTCAAGTGATTTTTTCAAACTTTAATTTCTTTAATAAATGTAAATCAATGTTAATCATACTTTGATTAATTTCAAAAATACTTAAAAAATACAAAAACTTATTCAAACTTTTTGTGCCTTTATGCACCTTTTCATTTAAAACCTTTCATAAAGTTTAGACATGATTTATTTTCATAGTTGAGATGTAACTCTCCTATTCCCCATAGTATTTAAGATGTTAACATTTTCCGTTTAGATGTTGAGTGATAGACTTGTTGATTTTAATCCAAGCAAAATCCTCCATCTTAAGGTGATGCAAATGTTATGTTCTTATACTTGTGGGTGACTTGTCTTAATTATCTCCTTAAAATGATAACTTGTCTTTTCATTTAAAAATAAACCATAACAAACCAATTTTGTTATTTGTACCACGAACTACATGGTTTTGATCATATGTTTCACTTTATGGGTAAGTAGACGTTAGGCTCAAGAAGTCTCTCCAAACACAAAAATATTATAAAAAAAATACTTCTCTTCTCATCTCCCCAATCTCATTTAAAACAAACTTTTTCAAATCAAAAAACATAGATTTTTCAAAGGGTTTCTATAGAGCACTA